CTTTCATTGTGTCCCAAAGATTCCTGTATGTTGTATTGGCATTCTCATTTATTTGTAAAAACTGTCTAATTTCTTCTTTAATTTCCTCTGTAATCCATTGATTGTTTAGGAGAGTGTTGTTCAGTTTCCATGTGCTTGTGAAGTTTCTATAGTTTCTTGTGCTATTGATCTCCAGTTTGATTGCACTATGATCTGATAATATACAGGGGATGACTTCAATTTTTTTGCATTTATTTAGACCTGTTCTGTGAGACAGTATGTGGTCTATTTTGGAGAATGATCCATGTGCAGCCGAAAAGAATGTATATTCTGATTTTTGGGGGTGGAATACTCTATAAACATCTATTAAATCCATGTGTTCCAAAGCTTGGTTCAGTTCTATTATTTCATTGTTGATTTTCTTCCTAGTTGATCTGTCAATTTGTGATAGTGGCATCCCCCTGTTTAGACTCCAGTCTATTTTCCATAATTGCTGTGGGCCACAGTTGCACAGAAAATCATTCTCTTCATGAAGCTGAGAGAGGAGTTAGCTTCCTTTCCATCAGGAGGTGGGCAGCGGGCAGAGCCTGGCTGAGACCTTGTGCTGTGGGCTTGAGCCACTGGACAGGCCACGCTGCGTGAAATTATGAAGACAGCCATGCCTCCTGGTGGAGGCCACATCACCCAGGCGGTCGCAGCTCCAGGGCAGGAAGGATGGCCATTGCCACTGACTGAGCCCCAACTGTGTGCCCGGTGCTGTCTGGAAAGAATTTTAGGTGGTTTTTAGAGGGGCCCGTGAGGTGTAAGGTAGTTATCCTAGGACCCTGGTTATCACTGGAAGAGTGTGTTGGTGGATTAAGACCAAACACTACTGCTTCTGTTTTCCAGCTTCCTGGCTCACAGGTGATGTGTCTCATCACACATGTCCCTGAGGAGGATGCCAGCCACTGTGACGTTATATGGTCAGGGGGCCTTTGCCAGAGCGGGTGCCATGCTTTTTGGACATTAAGCCTCAAAAACTGTGAGCAAAATAAGCCTCTTTTCAAGTTACCTGGTTTCTGATGCTTGCTTATAGTAATAGAAAATAGACTAATGCACCAGATCACCTCCAGGTTTTTGCCTGACGCGTTACCATTGTTGCTTTGTCCTGCTTCCTGCTCTCACCTTTGCCTAGTTTATTCCTTCTCTATCACAACCATCTCGGGAGAACTTCTTGGACACCCCTGGACCAGCCGAATGCCTCCCAGAACCACTTCCAAGGTGTTAGCTAAATCTCACTCGGTGGCGCTGTGTCCACACCTCACCCTGTGTGTGTGAGCATTTCCCCATAAACTGTGAAGGTGGTGAAAACCAGGCTGTGTCTTCTGCACTCCTCCATCTGTGTGCTCGGAGCAGCCTGGCACAGAGACACCTCAGTGAGGAACAAATCCATGATCGAATGATTCTAATTCTAGGCCTGAACTTAGGAAGTGGGGGCCAAATTAGCACAGTTGACCTCCTGTGCTCGGGCTAAGTCAACCTCTGAGAAGTGGTCAAGACAAGTTTGCAGTGGGAGGCAAATGCCAAGTCCCTTGTGTCGCCTTCCTAATATGCACGGCCTGCAGAGAGGGGTGTGTGACTCCAGAAGGACTCAGGAATTTGGCCTCTGTGTGGACTAACGGTGCTATTTTTCTTTTACATTTTTTTGAGGAAGGAAAAGTACTCTGCCCGAAGCCTTGGCTTCTCATGGGTTTCCAGGCACCCTGCTTAATAGGGTTGCTGGATTCTTTGTCTAGAACGCTTAACCGTGTTTAAATCTGATTTCAGCTGAGGGAACGGTCTTGCAGTCAGAAACGGGATGGAACTGCTTTGAAAACTCCTGGCCCCAGGGATCTTCTACCTCTGTGTATAGGACTGTGTTTGGGCAGTAAGCCCAGACAGAGGATTCCACCTCTGCCTCCTGGACCACTGTGGGAACTAATAGGCATGACAGAAGTGAACCCCAGGGTCCCCTCCCAGCCACTTTCTGGACCGAAGTGTGACGGCCTGAGACAGTGGCGTTGCCTCTCCATGCAGCCATAACCCTGAGGCCAGGCAGGCAGGGTTCGGATCTGCTGTCAGCCACTCAAGGTGGGAGAGCGGGCCACCCAACTTTGCCCCGAAGTTCTCACTACCAACACCATGCCCAAACTGGTGCTTAGCTGTGTGGAATCAATCATAAGTATTAAGCACATGTAGATGATGTCATTCAAGTATTATTTCATTAAAAATAACTTTTGTCAGCATATAGACATCTTTAGGAATTTCAAAGGATGTGCAATTAAGTAGTTATAATGGGGCCAGTGTGGTATGCATACCTGATATCCTACCACTTAGGAGGCTGAGGTAGGAGGATTGTGGTGAGTTCAAGGCCAGCCTGGGCTACACAGTAAGTTCAAAGCTAGCCTGAACTACAGAATGAGAAGTTATATTGGATCCTAGCTAGACTGACCAATAATCATTCTTCAAGAACATCTGAGTAGAGCACTCTGCATTATGATCTCACCAGACTGCACTATGACATAGTGAGTCCTTGTTTATTCATTCAACAAACATCAGTTGACTATCCATCCATGACCTACTTGTGCTCAGTGTGGCCTGGGTCCCAAGAGAATTTGAACTGGGTTCTCCCATTGCCCTTTAGTCCTGGTTTAGAAAGGTGTGGGCAATGTGAGGCTGGCTGCAGGGAGCTGTGTAGGACTCAATGACAGGAGAGTGGGACCATAGGACCTGTACCTGTTAGCCTGGAAGTGCAGGAGCTGGGCAGGCTAAGGATTCTGCCTGCTTGCAGTACACACTTTCCTGCCCCACCCACTGCCCCGCAGCTTTCTGTTACAAGTACCTGAGATACTCAGCTTAGTGAGGAAAAGCTTATTTTGGCTCATGGCTTTATTAGTATTGGCTTTTTTGAGACAGGGTCTCTCTGTGCAGTTCAGTCCAGCCTCAAACTCATTATGTGTAACCCACGCTGGCCTGAAACTCATCATGCTCCTCCTGCCTCAGCCTCCCAAGTTCTGAGATCACAGGCCTGTGCCATCATGGTTTTTGAGCTGAGTCAGTGATTGGTTGGCCTGTGGGTATTTGGGGGACACCTGAGATCCGAGCCAGAGCGCCCACTTTGCTGTACCCTCCCAGAGTTGCCTTGAAAGCAGAACTGTTGGATTCACCTTGACCAGTGGCCATGGCGAGCCTGAATAAATGAAGTCCATTTACGCTTTCCTGATGACTGACTCCTGATCATCCTGAGTGAGCCCTGGGCTCCTAAAGAGGGGCAGAGCCTCTGCTGTGCTGGAGGTCAGGGCTCAGCCCGACTGCTGATTTCTTCCTGTTAAACTTTGTATTCCCTGTGCCACCTTCCCGCAGGACCCTGTGGGCCAATGAAGCAGAAGAATGCTGAGACACAGCCGAGCCAGCGCGAGGATGGAGCTGTGGCGTAGGGTGCGGTGGACAGGAGTGGAGGCCCCTGTTGCCAGCATATGGAGAACCCAGGTTTTGGCCAAGGCCACAGCATTTCGACAGAACAAAATGAACCACATTTCGAAGAAAAGCTGCTCCTGAACTTGGGCAAGTACCTGTAATGTAAAAGGTAATGTGTTCTCAGAGATTTTATTCATTTTTATAGTGTGGAGGTGTTGGTGGGTGGTTTAAAGATTCTGCTTTCCTAAGTAGACGGCACCGGATGCCCTAATTTCCACATATAAAACCCTTCATTTCCCCTGGGTTTGAACAGTCAAAGCCTGCCTCCCTGGAGAGAGCACAGCTAATATTTTTGGTCAACATTGGAACTCTATTGAAGAAGCATCCCTTTTCCAGGGAAGCAAATGGTAAACTTTTTGCCCCATTAAGAGCGAGGTATTGGCAATATAAAGACGTTGGGGAGAAGATACTATGCAGAAAGAAACTACCTGAAATACATATTTTTCCACCTTTTGAAATCAAAAGCAAACTTTGCTGCTGATAATCCAGAGATGGATTGCTTTAAAGTCAGTGCTTGATGCAAATAAGATCCCTGGGCCGGTCGGTCCTGAGCTGATAGTCGCTGTAGCAGCACAGTTTTAACTAAATTGTGCATCTCTCATCTTCCTGTGTGGTTGACACAGAGAACTCGCCGTTTCCCCAGGACCATGTCCATGCTTTGAATTTATTACCTCACTTAATCCAACAACCCTCTGAAGTACTGTTATCAACCTGAGTTTTATTGGTGAGGAAACTAAGGAGAGAGAAGTTCCAGTAGCTTCCCGAGGTCACGGGTTGTAGTTCAGCCACGAAGGCACTTGTGACACATGCTGCACAGAAGCCAGGTCTGATCTTTCCACTCCATGGCAGCAGCCTTTGGTCCCGTAAACAGACCCAAGTCACTAAGTGGGACCAATTAGAAACACCCTGGAAGGGCGCCATCGGAGCAAGACCAGAGACACCAGAGCAAGGGTTCTGGGCCAATCAGGAGCAAAAGGAAGGTGCCCCAGGCTGGGGTCCCCCCAGTCTGCTTGCTTTGCCTGAGCTGAGCCTGGGAAGGTGCCTACCTGTTGCAGAGGAAGGGCAGGGAGGGTGAGGCAGGTGAGCAGAAATGTGGGCACAGACTGCCCAGCACCAAGGGTAGTAAACACTGGAGGGCCTGGTCCCAGGGCAGCATGGGGGGCAAGAGCAGGGAGGGACACTGGCAACTGCGTCTGAACTCAGCTGCACAGAGCCTTTTTCCCATGGCCCCCAGCACCTGGGCTGCAGGAAGGAGGCTGCCCAGTGTTTGGAGCACCGTGCCAGCACGGGTTCAAATCCTGAGTCGTTGAGGAAGCAGCTTGCCCCAAAGGAGCCTCAACTCCTGCCCTTGTGAAGCAGGACTTGGAGACCCATGCCCAGCACACAGCACACAGCAGGGGCCACTCGCTGTGCTTGGGCATCTGACAAACCCTGAGTGCAAGTGTCACTCAGAGCAGGGTCTGAGTGAGCTCAGGGTTCCCAGGTGTGCTTGTGCACTCTGTGTCTCCAGGACAGCAGACAGCCAGGGCGGCTGAGTCCTGGTCATTCCTCCTGAGGTGCGTGGCCCCTGGGCCCTCAGGAATGTACAGCCTGGCTCTCCTGCACGGTCTTGGGGGCCAACCGCATTATGTGAGTGCTGCTTAGTGTAACAAAGGAAATGTGCATGCAGCCTCCCTGCCAGACCCTCTGGAGCCAAATTGGCAGAGCTGTTTCTGAGCCAGCTCTTCTATGGAGCGCAATTCCTGACGATGTCACTTCCTAGGTGCGGGTCACAGCTACTCCGCACGCCTGTCCTCATCTGGCAGGGTCAAGGAAGGTGGGACAGAAATTATAAAGACAACGAGAAGGGATCAGGATAATCAGAATTTTTAAATTGAGCTTTTAAGAAAAACTGCAGCTTCAGGACATGAAAGTTTCTTAAGCCTTTCTTCCCTCCAGGAAACTAAACAACAAAATATTTCTAAGGGTCTTAGGTTTATAAATTGGGCACTGGACCGGTGCTTTCCACCCCCAAGGAAGCCACAGTATCAGTGGGCAGCAGACGTGGACTTCAGCAGACATGGAAATGTTTTGCATGCTGACACTGATGGGCACCGTGACCGACAGCAGGAACCCACAGCCTGGATCAGCATCCTGAAGACTCCCCAGGAACCCATAAGTAAAGCAGCTTCAGATCATAAGGTGCCTCTCTCCGGAGGGCCCGTGCTCTGTTTCTTCAAAGGTGTCCCTTACATTTCTCTCAAATAAATTACTCTTTTGCATCCTGAAAATTCTTTTTCCCCCAATGGGAGTCGGCGAGCCTGCAGTATCGTTCTACTGGTTAGGGTGGGTTCGTGAAACTCCTAGGATCCTATTTGAAGGCAAACAGAAGTGAGGTTCTAAAGACGAAAGAAAGCTCCTTCTGGGTTGGGCCCGAGCCCTGCCGCTCCTGCCAGCCCTCTTCTTCCCAGGCCTGAATTTGGCCCTTGCCCTCTCACTGTCCAGTGAGTCTTATTCCCCATGTTGATCATAAGCCCAGGAAGGCATCTATAAGAGGAGGTGGGCTGCGAAGGCAGTAGGAGGGCAGGGCACGACCTCAGGGACACTGGCTCTACCTGACTTGTTGTGACTTTAGGAGCCCCTTCTCCTTTGAGAATGGAGCTCATCTTCCCCTAAACAAGACATGGCCACTCGCTGGGGCTCAGTTTCTATGGAAGCCAGGAGAAGACAGGCTCTTCCTTTGTCTTGCCAGCTGCCCTCCCTCTGCCAGTGCCCAGGTCCAACATGGATCCACATCTCACCTCTCCAATGGAAGTTTCCATACACCTGTCCTGGATTCCCCACAGGGCAGGTGGGGTGCTTGGCTGGGATAATGGGGAACGTGCTTGTGACGGGGTGGTCTCCGTGAGTCATGTGACACTGAGGAGGAAGGGGCAGGGAGGTGCTTGAACTGAGGGTGCCTTGAGAGGCAGATGAGGGAACCTAGGACTGGGTGAGCAAAGAGGGGTGGTGGGAGGGTGGCAGGGGGAGTGGGAGGAGCCCGAGGCAGAAGCTAAAATGAGGGGAGTGGGTTTGCCCAGATGCTCTGCACAGAGGTTTGTCTGCTGGAGAAGTTCCTTCGTGTTTCCCAGGTCTTCTTCCCTCCCTCCCTCTCTCTCTGCTCCTTGCTTCCTTCTTCTCCCCACTTCCCTCACCAGGGTTCTGAGCAGCTGCTTTGTGCCAGCCACTGTGCAGTGGGCTGGGGCAGTGCAGAGAAAGACAACGAACACAGGGACATTCATTATGCAGATCAGCCCAGGTGTGTTCAGTGCTGCGGAGAGAAGTCAGGAGCGCAGGGGCCGTCAACCCAGAAGCTGTTCTGGGGGAGAGTGGCCGGAGACAGGGGCGCTGGGCGTGGCTGTCACCTGTAGTTAGCGCTCATTCCTTCACTCTGAGTCCACCATGGGACTGGCTTTGGCCAATGGACATTAGCAAAGGTCACGCATGCACAGGTGTGGAAGGCCTTGTGTACGTGGGCTTCTATCTGCTTTTGTGGCACGTGGGGCTCTGAGACCATGATGTGAAGAGTCCGGTAGAACCTGATGGAGGCTACCTGGAGGTGCCCCCCGCAGCCGAATGCCAGCTGCCACATGCAGGAGGCAGAGGAGACAAATCCAGCCCAGGCCTGGGGGCTGCGTGAGCCAGTGTCTTCCTCCCCACGGCATCAGCGCATCTTGGTAAAGATCGGCTTGGTAAAGATGCTTTCCCATCACGTGCCCTGTTCTCTTTGCTTTCACAGCTTGCAATTTGCATGCACCAAGTGTGCACAGCTGCTAAAAATGCACAGTCACAAAATAGCCCAGGGGAGCACGTGGCAGGAGGGAAATTTGAGGTTGGGTGCGAGGTTTCCACCTTGCTCGGAGTTCTTTTGATTATAGAGTGTCAGTCCCAGAACAATCTATAGCCCCTTGCTCAGGCCTGTGAGTGAGCAGGTCACCACTCAGTGGTGAAAACAGCTGCTCCCTTCCGCGCCCTCCTGCCTGATTTGGGGGGAAAGGAATGCATGTGCTCTGAGAAGGGTGATCTTTTCCAGTGAGGCCATGGGGCTGAACTTTGACAATACCTCTCTATTAAAATTGATGTTCCTCTTAACTGGCAGTGATGGGGGATTGTTTCTTAAATGCTGCTAAACACAGTGACAGGTCCCAGGTGACGAGACAGGGGGCTTGCTAATTCTCCTCCACAATGTCCCTGGCTACGAAGGGTTTCCGGCAGGTAGGAACCTGTGAGCAGGGCTGGTTTCCTGAGGTCAGCTGACAAGTATCTGGGAACCAAGAGTTCTGTGCGTGTTACCTGTGATTTCCCTTGAATTTTACACATCCTCCAGCCCTCAGAACCATTAGTTTTTAAGAAAAGCAAAAATTGAATCCTTATTCCTCTCTAGGAGAGTGAGGGGGGCACGTCCCAGCATCTGGTCCCTTGTTCACTCTCAGACGACTTCAAGTGAATGCAGATAATGCTTTTTCAGGGGAAAAGCAGAACCATGTGTGAAGGCCAGGGGCAGAGATCATGCTGAGGAATTCCACAGGGGGCCACTTGAGGGATGTGCTGCCCTCTGCAGCTCCCTGAGCTGCTCCCAGGGAATATGCCTCAGCCCCTGAAGTGTGACTGCTGCTGTAACTTCAGGACCACCCATATCTGAGGTGGATGCCACTGTCCATGGCCATGTGACATTCGAGCTTCTCTGAGGTGGCTTCCTGTGTGGGCAATAGACTGGTTATGAAGATCAGGTGGGAAGCAATGTCTGAACGTCCCTCTCCTTTCCTAGGAAGGAAGCACCTTTGGGCTCAGACAAGTAACCACAAACATTGGTTCTTACCTGGTTCCAACTGCAGGGCTGTCAGCCTGGGGTGTCCCATTGCCTGCTGTCACTCACAGGTGCATAGCTGATCTGCGGTCCCACACATCCCCCTGAGATGGATTCCACTGTATCCACCTTACAGAGGGGAGACCAAGCCTCCAGAAGGGAAGCATAGGTTTCTCTCACCCAACTTCTGTTCACATTCCTGATGAGAGTACCCCAAGTTCTTTGGGGGAACTGCCTCTTCCCTGTGATGGGCCAGCTCGTGAAACTCAGTCTAGGTGCCACCTCCTTCAGCCAAGGAGCAAACTGGAACAGCGACGCCTATCGAAGGTACTCTCTGAATCTGAGTTTCCATCTCAAGCAGAGGAATGGAAGCAGTAAAAATGGCAGAGGCTAATTTGCCCCAAGAAAGATGAGGGTGGAGCAGGGAGCTGAGGAGACTCTCCTGTGGTGTCTGTTGTTAGACTCCTCCACTGTGTAGCAGCCTTATCCTGCCTTCAGAGACAGCTCCTTCTCTTCCTTTCACTCCTGAGTCCCACTGATTTCTGTTGCTTGCACTACCCCAACCCTGGCTGACACAGGGAGTGCCTATCCAGGAACACAGAACTAAGGACCTGTTCCCAGGCTCCCAGGCCAGCACTATTCCTACTGTGCCACATGATGTCTCAGGGAGAGCCTTTCAGTCTGTGACATTATCAGCAAGGGCATGGTGATGGGAACACAGGCACCTCGTAAAGCACGTGGACGCCCCCATACCAGATCCAACCTTGGTCACTCAGCAGGGAGGCCACACAGAAGCCAGAAGACCACGCACAGCCACACGCCCTCTCTGGGCATAATTAATGGAATATCTGGATTGTTCCTGTCAGCAACCTTTTTTGCTATTCAAGCCCTCTCTATTCATCATATATTTTTAAAGCCAAACTGGAGGCCTTCAGAAAGTGTGCTCATTTGCTGCACAATGGTGCTTTATTGATAAAGCCAGGACACACTGCAGGGAAGCAAATCCCCCAAACTTCCCAAAAGGACTTAGACAGCATGGGAAACAAAGAGCAGGCCTGGGCTTGGGGGCTCTGAGTTGCTCTGGGGGTCATTTGCTGGCTTTCCATCTTCCTGGGCACCTTCTCTTCAAAGTCACTGCTGGGAGGAGGCAGGGAGCAGGCTGCAGACACCTGCGGATGCCTTAGCTCCCAGGAGTCCTACCTCAGCTTCGGGTTCAAAGGCTCCTTAGTGAGAGCCTTTGGGGCACACCACGGGGGACAGAGTGCCACTCCACCTCAGCCCAGGTGCAGCTGCAGCCAGTGTGACAGAGCCATGAGCCCCGGTGGTGTCCCCTGCTTGTCTCTTCTGCATATTTCCCAAAGACATCCACTTGCTGTTTGCCCGGAGACCATTCAAGACCCTCTGGTCATGTAGTGGAGTCCTGGTCAAGGTGGGTGGACAGCCTCAGAATCCTCTGCGACCTCCCACCACCCCACCACTGTGAGAAACGTGCCCTCGGCAGTGTGGGGGAGCCAGGCAGCCCTTAATGGTAATAGCCATAACTGCAGCCAATTTTCAGTAATTGGTGGCATTTGCAGGGGAATTCCTGCTCGTCACAGCTGCTTTGATCTCTACTGGTCTCTGTGGGACTCAAAATACTGTTGTCTTCTTCAATTACTCCAAGGGACAGCATGGCCTTGACCTTGCCACATGTCCTCCACCAGAAGGAGGCTGGGCCCCAGGAAAGGGGAGTCGCCAGCCACTCCTGGGGGCCAGGGCTTCTGGAAAGCCCACTAAGACTCCAGAGCCTGAGGGCCGGGGCGCATGAGCAGTGCTGACCAGCGCCAGGCACCAGGGGCCTCCTTCATACCCCAGGCATCTCTGCTCCAGTACTCACTTTGCCAAGATGTATTATTGCCTCCATTTCATGGAGGAGGAAACTGAGGCCCAGATGTACTCATGCAGCAGGCAAGAGGCATGGCCTGGGGTGGCAGGGGCTGACGTCCAACCCCAGGCTTGCTGGTTTGGTTTCCACATATGGCTTGAGTGCCAACAGCAAGCTCCCCTCTCCTAGCAGTTCCTGGAGGGCAGAGCAGGGTCACCAGCAAACCTGTCCCCTCCTGCCACTGTCAGGCAAAGCTGAGCACTGTCCACACCCAGCCCAATGCCGACACGCAGGGATCAGCTCCCTGTCCTCTTGAATCTGTGACATATGTCCTCTTCCTCGGTGGTCTCAGCCTAGCTTGGGGACTCGGTTCATTCACGGCCACTCCCACCAGACGTCTCTGAGACCCAAGTACCTGTTTGATGTGAGGAGCGCGCTCATGCTCAAACGGACCTCCTCATCTGCTCCCACCCCAGCTCCCTCGGCATCCTCTGGGTCTTAGCCTTTGGGTTCTCTGGCAGTGCTGTTACTCTGGTCCGTGACCTGGGGGTCCATCCTCGTTACCTTCATTTGTCTAGTATTCCACCTGTACCCGCTAGGGCCCCCTGTTGGTTCAACCTAAAGTAACCCTGTAATCCACCCCTGTCTCTCTGCAACGCCAGTACCACCTCCTCCTCTCCCTGCGGCAGCTCAGCTCAGCTGCTGGATGGACAGACAAGTGAATGACAAGAGTGATAGTGACTGCTTCTCTCTCCAGCCCTCTGGGGGCTCCTGCCCTCTCCCCTGGGCAAGTCACTGAGGTCACCGATAGGGCCTGTCTTCTGGGACAGGGCACTGCGGTGGAGCAGAGTATTAGACCCACGCGTGCTGCGGGGAATCGTTCTAATCGGGAGGGGCTTCTGGGAGGAGGCATCCTTGGCGCTAGGCCTTGATCGCACGTCTGCCTATTGTGTTGTCTCTGACTGGACAGAAAGAAGTGCTGCCCCACCACGCCGGCTCAGCTCTGGGTACCCACACGTCCATCCCACCAAGCCTTCTGAGTGCTGTCGTGCGTGGGCCCTGGGCAGGTTTGTGGGACAGCCTGGGCTCACGTCCTCATTGCCTGCCTTGCTGTGCTGTCCGTCCCTGGGGACAGAGGATGGGTAACAGGGCAAATCAGCCGGCCCAGTGGAGCGGCACCAGGCCGGTTTATTACAGAACAGGAAGCACCCACACCAGCTTCTTCCTCCTCCACCTGCACAATCTCCACAGATGCAGATCACCTTTACTACAACCTGACCTAAGGAAGGCCTCTCTCCAGCTGTAAAAGGTCCGTGGCGCCAGAGCCAGCTCCACCTGCCCCACCTGCGGGACTCCAGGACCCCATTGTACCTCCATGATCTCATTCCCCTTGCAGAGTCCTGCAGGGGCCTCCCTCCCCGCCCCTCCCAGGGTGAGGAAGCCATGAGCTCACAGCTAGCTAAGGGCAGAGCTAGGATGGCCGCTGGGTCTACCTGTCACCCCGATGCACGACACACAGCACGTTTAGCTGCTGCACAGAGCCGCTCGCCTGCCGGGAGGACTTGCAGAGCCACGGGGCTGTCACCTGCATTCCTTTCATTCTGGCCCAGTCCCTGTTGCCGCTCTCGTGTCCTAGGCAGTGAGCACAGGCCTGAACTGCTTGTGCCCCAGGTTGGCCCTGTCCTGCCCCTCAATGCTGTCCACACGGCCCTCGAGGCCGAGTGTGCTGGGCACACAGCCAGAGACCTTTGCTCTGCTGTTTGGAAATGTGTTGGATAGGAACTTACTGCACCTTCCTTGTCCTCTTGCCAAAGCTCCTGTGTACATAACTCTGCAGACTGTTCTGCCTTTTCTCGTTGAAGCCAAGGTGATTTTTACTCTCTTCCTTCTGTGTCATTTCCCTCTAGGTAGTCCTATGGCCACTTTCTCCTTCCTTTTTAAAAACTTATACATCTTTCCAGGGATGTAGCTCAGTGGCGCCGTGCCTGCCTGGCAAGTGCAAGGTCCTGAGTTCGATTCCTAGTACTGGAAAAAAAAAAAGTAAAACTCATATATCTTAATAACTGTGTTTACACCTATAATTATAGGTGTACAGAAGTGTGGTTCCCCCTCTCTTCTTTGAGCATTTCAAGAAGCTGAGGTCTGAAGCCACAAAGAATGATCTTGTTTATCCACCTAAGACCTAGAAAATAACTCACAGCTTGCAGGTCAGGCTTAATGAGAAGCTTTCACAAAATCAAACTCCAGACCCAGGAGTGTGAGAGGTCTAAGCCACCCCAAGGCTCTCCAGCTCAATGAGGTCCCCACCCCATACCCTAGTCAGGGGGACAGTGGGATGGTGGCCTCCAGGCCAGATGGACAGAGTATGATCCTAGCTCTGGACGAGTCCTTGGGAAGGCATCTTCACCAGGCTGGTTGCAGTATCCTAGGTACATAATGACGGGGGGGATGTTTACCAGGGCTCTTGGAAAGCTGATGTCATAAAGCCCACAAGGGCTGGGCACAGAGTGGTCACTTAGGTGGAGCCCATTGCTCTCTGTGGGCTGTGGCCAGACTGGCACAGCCTGGGTGTGGGTGGTGCTGAGAAGCTCACGGTGCTGCCTGGATTTGGCGGCTGTTTCCTGCCTGGGGCTATTCTCATTGCAAGATCTCAGAGAGAGCTCCAGGAAGGGCATACAGAGGACAGAGAATGTGAGCTTCATGGCCCAAAGCAGCTCACACGCCATCATTGATAGGATGGCAGGGCTTTTCCAGGGGCTAGGGTGACTGCTTGTAGATTTTACAGCTTCTTTGTTTCAGATTTTCCCTGTTAACAGCCCAATGGCCGATTACTTTGTGTGTCCATGCCAATCTGTCCAAGGTAAGCAGGAGAAAGGACCTGGCTTTTGAGATGGTTTCTCCATGTGCTAGAAAGAGTGTTGTGGGGAGGACGGAGAGGACCCAGGCGGGTCTGTTCAATCCGTAGATTTTTGTGCCTGTGGAGCTTACATTGCCTTAGGGAAGTGGCCTGACTGGGCAAGTGAGTTGTTAATAAAATGTCATATTGCACTAAGTAAAATGGAGAAACACTAAGCAGGGCAAGAGAATGGAGGAAAAAGAGGGTGATGTGTTAAAGTGGTTGGGAAGGGCTCTCTGGAGAGGGGGCATTTGAACAAAGTCTTGAATGAGGATGTGAATCATGAGCATCTGGGAGACAAGCTTTTCTGGCAGTGGGAACAACAAATGTAAAGACGCCAAGGTGGTGTAATAGCTAGTGTCACGTCAGTGCTGCATAACAAATGCCCCCCAAACAATGGCTTAGGACACCTATTCTGTGTTGATGATGCCTGTGCAGGTCAGCCAGCAGGTAGCTGATGCAAGGTGGGCCTGGCTGGGCTGGCTTCAGGCTGCATGTCTGTACCTCACCCTTAGGATCTGCGCGATAGGAGGGTGTGTTCTCAAGTTGGTGGCAGGAGTGTGGCAGGACAGGCAGAGAGTGGAGCCTCTTTGGAGCCCAGTCTGGATGGAGCACTCCATTGGCAAAACCCACACACGGCCAAGCTCTATATCCACGGCAGGTTTGTGTACTATGTCTTGGGGAAAGAGCTGGGAGCTCAGCCAGGCCACGATAGCTACAGGGGAGCAGCTGAGGGGCACAGGCAGCAGATGAGGTCAGGAACCTGGGCTGGCCAGGCGCTGACATCCTCCATCAGGGCTTGGACTCATTCCATGATGGGAAGCCCTGGATCCAGTTTTTTCCCTCTAAATGTTAGTCAAAGCTTAGCACACATTATAAAGTACACAGATATATTAAGTGTGCAGATGATTCCCCCACTTATGATGGCTCCACTTAATGAATTTCAACTTTCCAATAGTGTGAAAGAAATTTGCATTCAGTGGAAACCATGCTATTGAATGCTGGCCTTTTCCTAGATTAGTGATCCATATGTGGACCAACTGATCCTCCCTCGGATGCCAGGCAGAGGCAGCAGCAAGTGCAGCTCCCAGGCAGCCCTGCAAGAATCACGAGGGGAAACAACCAACTCTCCACTGCTAAGCTGGGGAGTGAAGTAGGTAGGTACATTAAATGCATTTCAACTCATGACAGTTTTAACCTACGGTGGGTTTCATGAGCTGTAAGTCCATCATAAATCAAGGGGCACTGGTACAGCTCAGCGATAAGCTTTTATAAAAGGAAAAGTTAGTTTTGCCTGTTTGGGAACTTTATATAAATTAAACAATATGTATTCCTTTGTGCCTATTTTCTCTTGATTAGGCTTATGAGTTTCATTTATGGCCCTACATGTAACAGTTATATCCCCCTGCCATTGTGAAAATGTATCCCATTGTATAATTACACCTTGATGTGTGCTGCTGGACACTGGACAGGTACAGTTTGTGGTTGTTAAAAATAATCCTTCTCGGCATGATATTTATGCCTGTAATCCCAGCACTCGGGAGGTGGAGGCAGGAGCATCATGAGTTTGAGGGCAGCCTGGGCTGTGTAGTGAAACCCAGTCTGAAATAACAACAATAACAACAAACCAAACACATAAAGGAATAATGTTTCTAAGAATATTTTGTTAATTGCATTTTTAAATGCATAGATATAAGCATTTTCATCACGCATATGTATGTATATGTTCACAGGCCACGTGTATCAGCTTATTGGCTATGTTTATTAAACCCACTGTGTGTGTGTGTGTGTGTGTGTGTGTGTGTGTGTATGTGTGTTCATTCTTCTCCTACTCTATGACTTGCCTTTTGAGTCTCTTAAAAGTCAAGCAAAGGGGCCAGGGATTTAGCTCAGTGGCACTGTGCCTACCTCATAAATGCAAGGTCCTGAGTTTGATCCCCAATACCAAAAAAAAAAAAAAAAGCAAAATGAGAGGAAAAAGGGTTCAAGGGAGGGAAGGGGAATGGGGAACAAAAGAAAAATCAAGATATATTATATATGGGTACAAATTTCCTATGATGAATGGGATCATTAAGCATATCAAAAGTGTACCAGTACAATTCATTTTTAAAATTAAATAAATTAAAATTATTTTTTGAAAAGTTTAATTAATTTATTGGTCTTTTAACAGTTGCACCCCATTTATTCTGTCAAATAAATCTCTACTTAAATATCATAAAGATATTCTCATGTTTTCTAAGCTTTATCTTGCTTTCAACACTTAACATAGAGAATATATAATAAACACATGCAAATCAACAAAAAGACACAAGAAGAAAAAGCGTGGGGGACTATTGGCCCAGGGGTACAAAGTTTGAGGTGCACAGGAGGAGTGAGTTTTTATAGCAAAGCATTTATTGGTACAATCCCAGCATAGAGAATGCTAACACTCACTGTAGGGAATTCGCACCTGTACACAGGGCATCCGCCTCTCTGTTCCCATCCTTCCTCCCCTCAAGCTCTCTCCTGCCCACGTACAAAAGCTTTGTTTCCATTTTTTTCCTTCTATTTTCTCTCTTTTTTTTTTCTTGACCCTTTCTGAGGAATGAGTTTTTGAGATCTTTTGCACAGCAGGTGACTCTGGTCAATAATAACGCATTGTATGTTTGAAAATAACTGGGAATAAGTTTCCCATGGTGCACCACAAAAAATAAACAAATGAGGTGGTGGACATGTGAATTAACTTGATTTGATCATTCCACATTGTGCTCATATACTGAAATATTGCATTGTACCCCATGCATGTACATAGCTATGGTTCGTCAATTTAAAATATTAATTGCAAGGGAAAGACAAGCCGGTTACTTGGAGGGGTAAAGTGATTGAAGAGGGTGTTCGCAAAAGAGGACGCACATGACCAGTGGACGCCCAGCTGGTGTTTGACAGCATTAGTGACCAGAGACCTGTGTCTTCCACTCTGTGTGAGATCCCACTTTGCCTTCTGCAGAGCGACTGCCATTAAGGAAAACGGAAGTACAGCAACTGCTGGTGGAAATGCATATTCAGTGCAGCCCCTTTGAACAGTTTTTACGGTTTCTCCTAAAGCTGCAAGTACATGTATGGACCCCATCAGTTATATATGTGGGGCAGGCCCAGGGTGTGGGTCAGCTTGAAAGGCAGCCAGAAGAGAAACCGCTCTGAAATGCAGTCTGATGTTTCTCACCACCAGAATCCATCGTGACAGTTTCACTTCTTTTCCATCTTGATTTTTTTGCATTGTCTTATTGCATGGCCAGGACGCCCCCAAGAGCGTTAACCACAGGGGGGCAGGATATGTGCATTGTTTTGAGGGCTCACTCTGTGTCCTGCTGGGTGGGGGCTGCATGGGGCAGAGTGAGGCACAAGGAGGCCCCTGAGGGGTACCTTGCAATAATCCAGCAGAACGACAGCGAAGTGGAGAGACATCGTCCCATCCAGAGATACCCTGAAGGCACTGCAGGAGAAGATGGGCAATGCCAAGAGAGGAGGAAGAAAGATGCTGTGAGCTTGTTGGTGGTTTCTGGCTGAGATGGACAAGGCCATGGGGTCAGGGCGGGTTTAAGTGGTGAGGGAGCAGTGGGAACCAGAGGTTCAAGGTTTGGTATTTCCAAGAGGACAGAAGTGTCAAAGAAGCAGCTGGCTTTGTGAATCTGAGTGGAGATAAAAATGTGAGTGATCGGTGTACAAATGGCATTTAATGCCTTGGGAATGGACAAAGTCACGAAGGGAGGGGTTATAAGGAGAGGAGAGGAGAGGAAGGGCTAAGAATGAGAAGGAAAGGGGAGAAGAGGGAAGAGAAAGGAGACAGGATGAGCAAAAAAGGAAGGAGCAGCCAGGATGGCTTGGTGTCCCCGAGAGGAAGGACCAGTGTGTTTCAGGATGGGGAAATAGCAATGAGCGAAGCTGAATGGCACCGGAAGAGGAAGGTGAGCTCTGATCTTTGACAAATCCAAGTCTGAAGACTAAGACCTCAGGGGAGCTGGGATGTGTAGGGAGTGTGATGAAGTCACATGGCGACGTAGAACAAGGTTCACCGGACGACTTCACCTCTCCCGGTCCATCAGACATTCACCTGCGTGTGAACGGACCGAAGGTGTGCAAACGCCGAGCCCGTGCAGTCAAGGGCAGGAACTGTTAGCGGTAAAGATAGCCCTGGCCAGCATCTATTTCCTTGGTGAAAAATGACATTTATAGAATGCTTGCTGTGCACCAGGGCCCATGCTATATGGAAAGAACACTTTCTCTGCTGATGTGCAGGTGAAGCTGTCTCGCTCTCCACGCTTCTCAAGGCCCTGAGCAGTACTGGAGCAGAGACCCCACCAGCTGGATGGGACTTGTGAAGGAGGGGCTGGAAGCTGGTTTTCTGACCTTTGTCTGCTCACCCACAGCGAATGTCAGAGGACAGCCCAGGAGACTGGAAGTGGCTCCCTTCTCCATCCACTCCACATCCCCACCACTAACCCCACCTCCAATCTGGGGGCACAGAGAGTGCTCTCTCCCATCTGAGGCCAGAGGGCAGGGCGACCTCAGAGACTGGGATAGGATTTCCCTGGTTTCAGGAACACAGTGGGCTGGCTTGACACTGGAAAAAAAAAAAAAAAAAAAAAAAAAGAAGTGTGTAGGGGGGTGGAGCGGG